TATCATCTATGTACCCCAGGAAATCTTCCAAAAGAGTGAGCATGGCTTATGAACACAGAGCAGCTTTAGAAGATATCAGAGTGCAGAGGGAGCCTAGAGTACGTTCCTGATCCTTTTCCTGGCCTTCTCTGAGCTTTGTGAACATACTGCAAACAAAAAGGCAATTACCACCAAGAATTCCAGGTTAGAATATGAAACTAAATGCAAGTCACTCTGTGGTGGTTGACCTTCGTATTGACAAGCTGCACAGCTGACACTGGGCAAATCAATTAGGAACTGCATGTGAAACTATGTCTTGAAACCACCACACCTTGGACAGGGATGGCGTTTGCTAGGATTATGAATATTCAATCCTAAGATCAAATTCACAATGCATGTGGACACACTAGGCAAGCTAAGTCTCTACAAAGCCCACACTGGTTGACTATGCTAGACTGAGATACTCAGCAACTGTATGACGTAGCTGTTTTGGCACACCTATCTTGTCATTTAAGGGACACATGTGCAATGGCCTTTACAGCAGGGTGTGGATGACACCAAAAGTGACATGGTCTCCTGTGGTTGGCTAGTGAGCAATGACTGGGGATTTCATCACAGCAAATACACAGTACCAAGGCAGGATCCCCATCACTGGATATAACAGAGCACAAGTGAAAGATGGAGCATGTTCTCTTAGAGGAATTCCCCAGAAGAAAATTACATTCAAATCAAGTAAAAGAAAAGAAAGAAATATAGTTGGCAAATCTCTGAAAACTGTTCAATATTATCAACAATAAAGAGATATCAATTAAGGTAATTACACAATTATCATCTCAAACTAATAAGATGCATAGATAAAATTAAATATACGGTCATGTCTGAGACCACTGCTGAGCGCACATGTGGATTGGTCGTCTCTGCGGTGTAACCTGAAAATGCCTGTCAATAGCATCAAAGCTGTTATTAGTGGCTGTTTAAACCAACAACTCCTGATTAATTGTTCTAATCACTAGAGACATGAAATAAAAGATTTATAGGCTAATCCAATAAAGTATTACTTATAATACTAAAATAAGAGACAGAGCTGTACTGCAAGCTATTAAGGGAGGAAAAGACACAATAGTCCTACCCTGTGGTGATGCCTATGAACAACAATAATCGACATGGCAAGGTATCCCTGAAGGTGCAACAGTGGCACTTAAGACTGGGTGGTAACCAACAGCTGTCTAACTGAACTGAAGGCCTGTTCAGCAGGAAGGAAATCTTATCTGGTACTGTAAACCTAGCCAAGAACACACGCCTAGAAAGGTCAGAGACTCAGACGAGAGCCTAACAAAGTCACTTTACTAAACCAGTATAATTCCTAACTTCATTTAAACACCTGTACCCACAGTAATACGCACCTTTCACTCCTCATCAAAGAAGCTTCATTTCACAGCAGATGGAGACTTTTATAAAACAGCACAGCTAGTCTAAATGCAGAGAACAACCTACTACAGTGTGTCCAGTTGCCATGGACATCTATAACTTAACCCCTGCACCATCAAGGAAGAGGAGATGAAAGACTGTACTAGCCAGAAACACTGTGTCTTTCAGAGATGGCAAGAAGCTCGACAACATGACCACTTAAACAAGACCTGAACAATGGTAACCCCAGTTGACATGCCAAGATGGATGGGGGAAATTTCACAGGGCTACCACCCTAAATGAAGAGTTACATGTGAGAAAAGACTGCTAAGAGAGGGAGAATTACTCTCGCCCAGGGATGAACCCCCTAAATCGTTACCCAATGCCAAGTGGGCAGAACTAAAGAATAATCATAAAAGCAACACTAAAGGGATTCAGCAGGTTGCATTTATTATTTACTTCCATATATGTATGTAACAATAATAATTAAAGAATAAGGAGTCATGAATTTGAAAGAAAGGGGTTGGAGGGAGGACAGGGAAGAGAGAAATGATAAAATTATCATTTTTTAAATCATAAAAAAGAACTGAAGACCTGGTAATAAAGGACTGATAAGAATTTGTTTTATTTCTGTTCTTCCTTCATAAAATGGCATTTGGGGCAGGAGGAAACCAATATGAAGGCTAAAGAAGATGTCTTATAAAAGAGCTTAAGCTATATTTATTGGGGAAAGTTATAAAACAGTGTCTATTATATGGTCAATTTGATGGCCAGGAAAGCCAGTGCCTATAGGGCATGTGTTCCCATGGATTTAAGGGGTATTTATCAAGTTTCCACTCATGTTAATCTCAGGGTGATGGGACTCAAGGTGATCACATTTATTGCCTAATTCTTTTCTACAGTTTCCCTTTTTCTACAGTGCATAGCAATTATACAACCTTAAGGAAGCAATCACCTTTGCAGATTTTCAAAGGGCAAACATCTCTCAGATTGAATGGTCCATGGCCTCTCTGGCCCCATCCACCTATGGAAGACCTGATGCATGAAATGTTCAGCTGGTTCACTCCCTAACCAGTCTTTAGTGTTAGATGGCAATGCACTGTTGCTTCTCGAGCTTTTATCCACCTGATGGAACACACAAACCAAAGTAATGGCCACATAAAAAACACAACCTTTCCAAACTGCTATAAGTGGGTTCCATCCTTCACTTCACCAAGCCATTTCTCAATTCCTGTTTCTTTGCCCATCCATAAAAAAAAAGAACACTCCCAGAGAAAGGTTCACAGAATACACAGTCAAAACACTTGTCAGTGCATCGTCAAGATGTTGCCTTTTAAGAATATATTATACTAAGGAATCAGATATGCCAGGAAATACTGAGATAATGACCCCTCTGGCCGCACCATGAAACAGACTGTGTACAGTACTTGGCTCAAGCGGACTGAGTTCTGCCTACTATCGTCTATTTCTCCATTAATTATGACTGCCTTCCAGGCATGGGATGGACTTGCCACAGACAGGAAGCTGAAGGCTTCCAGCGACACCCACCAATGAGCAGTTAATTTTACATGCAGCACTCAGCAGGGCTGCAGAGTCCCTAGAGGCATAATCATCAATGGGAAAGTGACAGCAGCTTCCCATCACTAAAGTCTCAGGTAGAAAACAAGCTTTCACCTAAAAAAAATCCAGGCATAAATAAGCGATCTGGGAGCCATGATTTCAGAGTCTCAACTGGAGAGTGGAAGGAGGCCCAGAAAAAAAGAGCATAAGGAAGGTAAAAGGAGAAACAGAGTCTCAGGACCACAAAGTACCTTAGTGGTTACAGCCCACACAGAAGGATGCAGACAGCCACTGCTTTATAAGACCTATCACCTCAGAACTGATACTCACAGGCAAAAATTCTACACTGTTTTTCTCCAAGAAAATAACCTCTAAAAGATAAAATAATAATCTTCAAAAATAAAAAGACCTTAAATGCTATAGCATATTTCACTTTTATTTAGCTACACCTCCCTGACACACACACACACACACACACACACACACACACACACACATCAACACTGAGGAAAATAAAATTTTGTCTAGAGGGGAGTGGTTTCTTTAACTCTTCCAAATGAAAAAGACACGAGGTATTACTGCACTTACACTGCCACCTAATCAAATATTTAATAAAAGCTTACAGAACGATACAATTATGTCTTTCCAAACACATTATGATTCATGATTTCTATCTTTATAACTGCTGTATTATGCACACAGTAGGTACTTAATACATGCTTGAGTAGATGAGTGGACAGGTGAGTTAACAGACTGACAGTCTGTAAACCGGCCCTGAGACCCTGCAATGCACACCCTGAAAACCTGACAGATGTGTAGAGCCACAATATGAGTTGCTTTGTAAGGAAATGACAACTTTACAAACCAGGCTTTGGTTCCAGAGACTCTCAAATCTCATGTAACCAGACAACGGCTATCACAGCATCCGTCCTGATTAAGAGTTTAAGAATGGTACTCACTTTTCAGACACATTCTCCTAGAAAGCTGAAACAGGAAGAGTTGCTTCAGTAGAGTGTGTGAACATGAACAGTGACTGTATGAGTCAGTGTGAGTGAGTACATTCGTGTTCAGGAGGAGCGGGGACCACACTCACAGGGTATGAGTATACCATAAGGAAAGGAGGGTAAAAAAAACGTAAGTTGAGACCTGGAATCTGAAGGAGGTCTATTCAGGTTGGCTGCATTCACTGCCCTCGGTAAGCTAGGACTGATCTGCTTGCATGCTGTGGAGACCTGGCTTGCTGGAGGTGAAATGGGTCCCAGTCGCTGAACCATCATGGGACTGCTGGTGACCACTAGATTGTTGCAGCTGCCTTTTCCAATGGACTTGCACTGAGGCCCAAAGCCAAGAGCCCCTAAAAACAAATGAATCAGGTTAGCTTTCACGTCCCTGACATCAGCAATCAATTCATACACATGTGCACATTTACATCAGGGCTCATCTCTAGAAGACAGTCCTTGGATCTTCTCTGTTTAGTAAATTTTTTTTACATGGGATTTCATGTTGCCTAGGCTGCCCTCCAACTTACTGTGTAGCCAAAGATAGCCTTGAGTCTCTGTTCTTCCTGCCTCCACCTCCCAAGTGCTGGTGCTACAAGAGCATCTCTTTAATATTGGTAACACCAAAAAAGCACATGATTCCAAGGCAATAGCTGTAATGCTACTAAGCTTTTCATAATCACCGCTCATCATCAAATGTGGTTCAATGTCACTGTTTAGAAGCGAGAATCATCTGCTGAAAACTATGCTGAAAGTCATAATTTATATCCTTAACGGAAGGGTGAAGGTGACTTGCAAATGGAATCATCTATAGCAAATCACTTCCTTCCTAGAGCAGCTAATATTTTGAATCACACAGCAAATTAAGTAAATACTTCTGGAGAAGGAACAAAAACATTTAACCAATTTGATAGCAAGTCTGTACTTCCCTCTTTAAAAGAGAACTATAGTCAAGATATATCATTTTCCCTCTTCATCCCAGTATGCTGCCATTGGACACACAACAACTTTTTTTTCAATTCAAGATGGGAAACCCATAAAACATTCACTTAGAAAGGTAACTGAATTTAACAATACTTTTGGGTTTTCATTACTTATAATATTCCAATATAAAAATAAAAGTGTGGTACATACCTAAAGGAGAAAGAAATAAAGGCAAAGAAACCCACAAGAATCTGTGTCATTAAAGGGAAGTGAAAGTGGAGAAGAAACGGCTGACATTGCCATGACTCATTGTTTAAAATAACAGTAAAAGCTGAGTCATACTAGACATTCCCTTCGCATTGATGTGCTTTCTCAAACATGTCTGATGACTACCTGGTTGAGTCTCAGTGCCATATACTCTATTCCCAACTCTAACAAATAAAATAAATTTCTCACTAGATTCTCTGACTTTGTCATCACTAAAGTATGTAGAATTTGTCACTGTAACCTTCTTTAGCTCTAGAAAGGAAAATTTCATATTTTGTTTTCCCCCAATTAAACTAAACAACTCTTTTATTTGGCATCAATTTTGGTTACATTTTCTCCTAAGAGCCCCTTGAGACAAAACAGACATGGAAGCTATTGCCATATCCTCATAAACGAAGGTACACCTCAAGTATGCTGGTTGGGCACAGCTCAGTTAGGAGGCAGGAGCTCCATCCACATCAGCGCGGTGGAGCTCAAATCTAGGTGCACATGCATATAACTGCACAGGGAATTATCTATGAAAATGAAATTCCTCATATATTTCCAAGGCATCCACATGTTTTAGTTTGGACTCTAGACCCTCTCTTGAACACTGTCCAAGGTCACCGTCTCCTAAAGAAATTTCTCAGATCTTTCTTCAGATGTACAGGTTTACCTCTCCCTCCTGTTGCAGATTTCTGAACCATTATCTTGAGTCTTCCAAGACCAGCTGGAGACATTCCATTTTTCTGACTAATATGACATTGGACCATCAGGGTTTTTGCCTTCACATCAAGAGTGGAGGATGTGTTTTTTACATGATACTCACAAACTGAGGCTGTCTGAAAATTCTTAATCCTGTGTATTTGCAAATACTCTCTTTTTAACCTTAGAAAAGGCAATGCAGAGGTGCATAGACTAACCTAGGCTATAATGGCCTGAGTTATCTCCTCAGCTTCCACTGCTACTATACGTTTCTATTACAAGTAATATCAGATGTCAAGCATTCAGTCAAAGAGACTGCCATATACTCTCATATAATGAGCTGTCACTTTATGTCTGTTTTATCCTTAATAAAACTATTAACATCTATCTGCCTCTAAAACAAATACATTAGTCACTGTATCCTGTACACACAAGAAATACGACTCAATAACAAATCATATACCTATTTGTCAAATCTAAAATCCTGTGTGTATATACATGTATATCAAAAGCATGAACAATCAATTATTACATTGGTTATATTAAACATATTTATGTTTGTGTGTGTAGTAACAACATGAAGTACCAATTAAATTTGTGTATGCTATCATTACTTCAGAAATGCAATGAGAACATGTATACTTAGAATTAGCAACTGCCTGGTTTAACCCCCAGAAACAGCTGACCAGACAAAGGTTAACTCTGCAATCTCATGCATCTAGCCTGAGCACCTCCAGCATGGGACTGATCAAGACTCCTGAATCTAGGGTGTCAGTGAGGAGGCCTAGGTAATCTATTGAGCCTCGGACCAGCAGATCAGCACCCATCCTGAGTGATACACACGGTCTCTAGGACTGACCCATAGAACAATGTCACGTGCACTCTCACCTTGATACTCTTGAGTCTGAAAGAATCTGAAGCCCTCCCTATATGAAATGACAGACTATGGACACCCCCATGGAGTGCCTCACCCTCCCTGGGGGAATGAGAGGATAACGGGGGGGGGAGTTGGGGGGAGGGCACGGGAGGAGGGGAGGGAAAGGGAGAGGGACCTGGTACTGACTTGTGAAGCAACCTTGTTTCTTATCTAAATTTAAAATGGAAAATAAAAAAAATATTAATAAAATAAAAAACAAAGAATTAGCAACTGCCAAACTTTTACTCAAACCCTTGTCCACAAATGCGTCTGTAATTCATGTATCTAGTGAGCACCTCCCCATCTTCAAGGCTTCAACCCAAAGGTGTGGGCCTGCCTTTCATTCTCACCATCATATGCACAGATCTGAGTGATCTGCTCTTTAGTGAGTGAACCTATTACATTCCCACTACCTCTCATTTTTATGCTTCAAGTCTTAAAAAAATGAAGTTCTTGTTTAACATGTATCTGCTCCCTAACAACCTAGCCTATTTACAAAGCTGTGAATGAATGCATGGAAATTAAATATGGCTACAATGAATATTAAAATGTTATCCAACTACTTTCATGGAAGCCCTCCTAACCATCTTCTGTGAAACATAGGACCATTAAAAAAATATATCCAAATGCAGTCAGCCCATTGATGCTTCTCCACAGTGTAGCTGACCAAGGTGAATGGAAGACAAAGCTGAAGAAAGTAGTAAGTGTACATCTGTTCTCTGGTCCAGGGTGTGGCACTGACCAAGGCTTCCCCTAGAACCCTGTAGCCTAGACTCCCTGTAATGAAGATGCCTCAGTCCATCTCTGCCTAGTAACCTATCACTGTGCATCGTCCCTCCGCCTACTCCAAACCCATGGACCAACTTAAACACCCTCTAAGCACAGAAGAGTGATAGCTTGTGTCAACAGTGAATTTCTCATAAACATGCAGTATTTGTATGCAGTGCTGAGAATGCTCTAGAAAATGGCATCATCTATCTCACAAAGGGAAGTAAACAAGAGCTATAGAACGAGCTACTACAAACCAAGCAGTAAAAGTATAACTCTTTTTCAGAATACCAGACAAGGATCAACTCAGGTCTACTCAGTGTATGAGTGTGGACTCTGGGACAAGCCTGCCTGGTGATCAGGCTCTTTGTGTGACCCAGGCAAACTACTGAATACCTGGAGTCAGTATTTCTATCTTACCATCTACCAAACAAGAAAAGACATCTATGCTGCCTCAAAAGGTGACTTTGCATCTAGTAGTAGCAGCACACACAAAGGACTCAGCACCATAGTAGGTACTGTGGATGTCAGCAGCTACTGTCACTGATGGTATTGTTTCACGCCTGCCTCTGCCTTTCTGTTTCACTCTGTTAGAAAAACGTCTTCACAATTCCTTGCACAAAACAAGATAGGAAATGCTGCTGTTTAATTCTCTGCCCATTTCCAATGTTCTTTCTGTTTTCAGCCTAGAGCCAATTTTTTTAAGCCAGGTGTCATCACAGAGAGAAGTTTGCAACTGGCCAAGTTTGAATGTTCCCTGGCTTGTTGTTCCATAAAAACAAACCATACAGCTTTTCTGACTACCAGATGTGCCAACTACTTGGGCACTAGTTTTCTTTTTGAAATATCACTTATTTTTAGAGACAGCATGGTGTGTGTTTAAAAACGTGTTTACTGCTCAAATAAAGATCTAGAGGATGGTGTTCTGAGTACCACATAGGTTCTAGCCAAGATCACCCCATGCTGGTGGGAAGTCCAAAATCATTTTGCATCTCTGAGTTTCTAAACTGAGTGGTCACTTTAGAAGAGCTGTGATTTTCATGAATGTCTTCATTAGTTGAAAGAGTCTTCTACAAAGCCAAGGTTGATTAGGTCATACTCATCGTAAATAGTTTGCATCTTTCCTAACTGCTTCTGTCTACTCACTGGTTCTCTTAAAATCCACATTGATACAGAGGGCAACAAAAACGAAACACAGATGAGAGGGCAGAGCTGACATAATCAAAGCTTTGCTGTTCTTAATTGCTAATCAACTGGCAGTTACAAAATGCTAACTATGAGCCAGGAAGCCCATGGAGACGGTATTCAAAGGATGGACTAAGTCCCCACTAAGGCCACTTCCTATAGTTTATAAAAATAATTCTTGCCTCTAGGTGAATCATGTGAAATAGCTTTTATCCCATCATAAATGATTTATCCCATCACAGAAGATCAACTTCTAAACAGTTCAGTGCAACACATAGGGTATTTTCAAGGCAAAAATATTAACATTTGATTGGTTCAAGTTCTAAGTCCTGCTCTCATTGGCTATGTGGCAATAGGCAGAGTCCTTGAGATCTCTCTGACCTTGTAGCCTCTTCTAAAATAGGTAATGGTCAGGTCACTTAATGCATGGAATTGCTTTAATGACAACAGGTTAATATTAATATACACACTACCACATTTAAGCATCTGGGTTCTCTATGTAACCTTAAGACCTAGAAAAGGATGCAGAAATATGAAAATACTCTCCAACTTCACCTATGGTCATTTCTTCATCTAACATATGAACTCAAGAGTTTGCTCATACAAATTCTG